AGTAGAGTGCTCTTATTTTTCAGTATAAAGTTGAAGAAAGGGAAGGAGGGGGCATTCAATCCCTTGCACAAGGAACTGTGTAAGGAATGTCAACTCTGAAGGAATAGGACTGTTAGCACTGGAGGGCCATATGGGTCATCTCCTGTCCCACCGACTGTCCCCAAGCTCTTTGTGATGAACGTCTCTGCCTTTCAACTGCCAAGTATAGAAATGGGAAGGAAAATGCTAATTGGAATGATTTGTTAGAACCCTTGTATGGACCCCACTGTTTTGCAGACTTTGTATCTCTTGCTTAGGACCAGGAGTGAGTGTTGCAGATTTTTTGTTTTACTTTTGTAGATTGTGTAATATTTGCATATTCATGACAAGGTAACTTACAGCTGGGGCCCAAGTGAAGACATGACATGCATTTGTTTCATGTGTAAACGTTTGGCTGATGCTGCACATGGAACAGAACACTCTGCTGTGGGACTCCCTCCTTGTGCCGCTGTGATAGTGTAATTTATTCCGTGCTGCTGCCTGGGTCTCACTGTTTTCCGCATTAACTCTTAGCTCCTGTAGCCTGCTTTCTGTTATTGTAGCAAATCCATGAGGCCATTAACTTAAATTTATTTAGGCTCAGATTTTGGAGGTTTCATTCCCACGACAGGGACTCTCCTGTTTTGGCCTGGGTCAGGGTAACACATCCTCTGTGGATTGGGGTACTGCTCACTCCATGATGAATGGAGGCGGGGCAGAGAGAGAGAGGGGAGCCCACACCTCCCTTCCTGAGCACCCCCAGTGTGGGAAAACCTCCCACCAGGCCCCACATCTTAGTTGCACACCAGGGACTAAACTTTTCTACACAATCTTTCAGGGCCACTCGCCAAACTCCAAGAATCTTCAACCAAACCTTTAAAATGCCTCTACTTCAAAGATGAGGAAACAGATAAAAAGAGAAGACAGCCCAGGACCACACTGCTCAGAGGACTTGAAAATGGCTGCTTTTGATTCTGAAACCTGTGCCCCAGTTGCCATGGTTATGGGCCATTTAGCAGGTAGGAAGAAATTGGGCTTCTGGTATCAATACAATATTTTGCTTGTATCTATCCCATATCCAAATAGCATGAGCTCTCACACGCTGGCGGCTGGAGGTCAGCTGGGTGCTGTAACTGTGTTTACTGTTCTAGCCGGCTAGCTGGAGGAAGAGGGACCATGCGTGCGCTATTATACTCATTGTCAGCCCCAAAGCTGGGCACACAGTAGGAGGGCAGTTATTACTGAAACAATTTTTTTTGTGTATCATTTCAATAAAACCGTTGAATACTTCTCTAATTAGAACTCTCATACAAGTAATGCTAATTAAATCAAACCTCACCACCACCTCTAACAAAAAGCAACTTAGGGGATTTCTTCTGGCTCACAGTTTGAAAGGTTCCAGTCCATGGTGGTGGGGGACAGCATGGCAGAGTTCATGGCAGTGGGAGTGTGTGGCTGGGATTACTCACATCTCTGGGGAGCGGGAAGCAGAGATCACCTGGGACTGGACTATAAACCATCAGACCCTCCCTGCTTGCTGTGATCCACTTCCTCCAAGATTCCACAGCATCCCGAAACCTCACCAGCAGCTGGGAAACAAGTGTTCAAACATGGAGCCTGTAGGAGACAGTTCAGTTCATTCAAACCATATATACACAGACTTTACACACCACATGTATGTATATGTGCATATACACGGCTTGAATCTCACACACACACACACACACACACACACACACACACACCAGGCAGAAAGGGCTGGGAATGAGGAATATGAATTTCTGGTGGACAGTCAGCTCTTTTCTGCCACAGTGAAGAATAAGCATGTTCTCAAGTGGCTACTTCCAAGTCCATTGTCCATCAGCTCACAGATCCAAGTTACAAAAGCTATAATCTGAGTGGTTTCAAATCCCGATTTATACCAATACTGTTTGGTAACATGCAACATAGCCAACCTTCGTGGATATTCATTTTCTCAGCAGTGAAATGGGGATCCCAATATCCCACAGACATACACACAACAAATGATAGCTGGTATTATTATGTTTTGTGAACAAAGCTTTCCCAAGACAGCAAACACTTTAAGTTGCTTTAAAAACAGCAAATGTAATAAGGTCCCATGACGGACGTTATGCTACTCTAACCTGTGAGTACAGATGTCATGACATCTGTCTAGTGTCCAGCAGAGCACCAGAAGCTTCCCAGCAGTATGATCAAACTGCTGATAATTCCCCCGAACTCTGGCAGGGGCCTGGAAAGAGGCAACAGCAGGCCTGACAGTATTAGCTATCATTTACTGAGTGTGATTCCTATCCTTTGCCACCCATGCCAACCTGTGGGACGTACTGTCACCACTGGCAGTGACACAGCTGTCTCCATCACCACTGACAGATCAGAGAAGTGACACAAAGAGGAGAGGGAATGAAGGTTCAAGATCCTCACTGTGACTGTCAGGACAGGGTTCTAACCTTGTTACTTTGACTCTAGAACTCAAACTCCTTACCCAGGAGCCTCGGCTGGATAAGAGATGTCACGTGTTAAGAGCAGACCACACAGGGGCCGGCAACGGCTCAGCACATGAAGGCACTTGCCATCAAGTGTGATGACCAGAGTTTGGTCCCTAGAGGCCACACGGTGGAAGGGAAGAGCTGACATCTGAAGTTATCCTCTCCTGCCCACATATGTATACATATATGCATGCATGCATACATACACACACGAACACATGTACTTTAAAAACCCACAATTATCAATGCTCCAGGGATCCAGGCTTGGCAGGACATGACAAGGAGCTGGGTTTACCTCCTTCCTATCTAATGAGATGTAGCCTGGCGCCTGTAGAGCAGGGGCAGGGAAGGCTTAAGTCTTGGTGCTGTTGTTGCCAGGGCAAGCTCAGTCACATTAGGCAAAGTTTAAAACCTTTCTGATAGGATTGCCGAAAGTGAAAACATCATGGCGGCTACCCTCCACAGCAGTGGTAGATTAAGTTACCAGCATGTGGTAGGCTCTGCCCGCTGAGCGGATAGGATGAAGTCCTCGCCTTTAAAGCAGCTACAGCAGGCTAAGCCACCACAACAGACAGACACACCTCACCGGCTGAGGGTAGTCACTCCCATTACTTTTCCAGTTCAGCCTTCCTGGGGACCGCTTGGTGGCCCCTGCTCTGCTTGTGGAGGTGAGGAGGGGACATGGCAACTTCCTTCATAGCTGTTAATGCTTCCAGGCAGAAGAAATTGTGATCATTTTTGTGCTGATTCTATCAACCTATGCAAGTTATATGGCCACATGTGATTTTGAGGGAGTGGGTGAGTTTCCTAACTTGTCCTGGGGGACAGAAAGGACCAGGATACTTGCCATTTTAATTGCCAACACAGGCACAATCTGTTTACCTGAAAACCAAACCAAACCCAAACGAAAATCAAGCAGACTTGAAGAAACTTCAAGAGGTTAAGTCATTTGACCCAAGTCACCCAGCCAGTGCAGGGGGACCTGGGACTCTGCGTGTGAGCAATCTACATGCATGTCTACAGACTGTTTCAGCGTGGGGGCAGGGAGTCGCCGACAGGGCCTGTGTGCCTGTCTCATGTGAGTGCTCTTACGGAAGGTAGTGGCTGGCAGAGGGGTTTCGGTCATCGTAAAGTAAGTAAAGTTTGGAGATAAGACGACCAAGTGCAGAACTGAGGAGAGGGGCGATATGAGCGGTGTTTCAGGCATGACTCCGGCAGCAGGGAGGGGGTCTCCGCAGGCAGGCTGTAGCCTGAGTTCGGTGTAAGGTGATAAGCGGACAGGAGGAATGCCAAGGGCGGGAGGAAGCCGAGGGAGGGCCAGGCACCGCCAGTCGCCCTTCCTGCCCTAGTCGGGAACACTGTAATTTACACGAAATTCCTTTAAAAGTTTCCCAAGGCCTCTAAATGTTTCTTCTCGAGTCTAATTTTTCCTCCCTTCATCTTAGGAGAACCAGGACAGCCTGGATGCAGCTGCGAGGCGTTCCTGCCTGACCTTCACCTGGTGGGGCGAGTCAAAGGAAAATTCCCATCGCCTGAGGGGGTTAAGAGGCTCCAAGTGGCCTCGGGCTTGGGCAATGAATTGCTCTGCAGGCCCAGGTCCTGGCCCATCCCAGAGCCACGGTTTGTCCAACACGGGAAGGGGCCTTCTCACTGGTGCTGGGCACCTCAGGGACCCAGCTCCATCCAGGCCCCCACCCCTCCTCCCCGGCTCCGCGGATGTCCCTGCCGGGGAGACCGGCGACCTGGCCGAGGGCCGGGTTCCTCCTTGAACCTTCCTTCGATCCTGACTCCGCCTTTCCCCCTGAGAGCCCGGCGCGGTCCCGCAGCATCCCTCCGGGGGCTTCCCAGGTTCCGCGGTGGCCCTAGGAGGGCGCTGCCCGGGCCGGGCCGGAGTTGGGCGCCTGCAGGGCCTCGGCGGCGGCGGGAGGAGGCCGTGACTCACCGCCGGTAACCCAACACCGCTGGGCCTCCTTCCCCGGCCTCCCCCAGCTCTCGCGGGCCTGGCGGCCGCCACGACACCATAACGGACACGAAGCACGAAGGGTGGCCCGGGAGGGTGCAGCCCCGGGTCACAACGCGCACGCCTGGGCCGCCCGGACTCGGCGCGTAGTCGCCACTGCCGCCCCGGAGCCCCGCGAGCTTTATCCGGGGCCGACCGGCCCAAGCCGGAGGCTGACCGCTCGCGGCGGCTGCGGAGGGTGAGCGCGGGACGCCTGGGGGGGGGACGAGCGCGCCGAGGAGCCCCCCGCCCCACCCCGGGTCCGTCCGTCCCCGCCCGGCGAGGACAAAGCATCCCGGCCTCCTCCCGGGCCTGCGCCGCACAAAGGGTGAACGCCGCCGCGCGCCCCGCCCTCTCCCGGCGCGGTGGCCCGACGCGGAGGTGGGGACGCCCGGGCGCCCGCCCCGCGCTCCCCTCCGCCCCGCCCCGTCTGCGCGTCCTCCCGGCGCGGGGGCGGGGGGCGCGGCGCCCCACATAACACTGCCCTCCCCGTGCGCGGAGCCGCCCTCTCCCCTCCTTCCCGCGAGCACCGCCGCCTCCCCTGACACCGCCGCCGCCTCGCCCGACGCTCCGCACACTGCCGCGGCGGCCCGGGGGGGAGGGGGCGGTGCGCCGAGCGTGCGCGCCCGGGGCGCCAGATGTGCGGTCGCCGCCGCTAGCGACCCAGCGGCAGCCGGAGCCAGGTCGGGCTGTCTCGGCAATGCTGCGGGGGCGACCTTGAACGCACCCTGGTTTCCCTCAGCGCAGCGGGGACCGCGCCGAGCCCCTGTGCCGGGTCCTGCCCTCTCCAGCCCGGCTCGCCCCGCGCTCGGACATGGAAGGGGCGGCGGTGCCCGAGGCAGGGGATGGCCCTGGTGTGGAGCCGGGGCCGCCGGGCTCTCTTCGGGAGGCGGTGGCCGGGGCGACTGCAGCCCCAGCGGAGCCCAGGAAGCCTCACGGGGTGAAACGACATCACCACAAGCACAACTTGAAGCATCGCTATGAGCTGCAGGAGACCCTGGGCAAAGGCACCTACGGCAAAGTCAAGAGAGCCACCGAGAGGTTTTCAGGCCGAGTGGTGAGTCGGGGAAATCCCTGGGTGGTACCCGCTAGTTCTGGCGGACCAAGTGGGGTCGGGGCACAGCACAGCACAGCACGGGGCTCCCTCCACCAAGAGGGGTCTCGGCGGAAGCCCCGGCAGCCTCCTCACTTTCCTTCCAGCACCCATGACTCAGGTGTACATCTCCGGAAACACTTGTTACATCCCGTCTGCACATATTTTGGGGCTCCCCCCCTTTTTTTTTATCCCAGCTAGAAAAGTAGTGTTCAGGATTGGCAAACATTTTGCAGCGTTGAGGACATGGGGTCTCCCCCGCAGACACACCTTCAGACCTTGCTGAGGGCTCCGTATTTGTACAACTCCGAAAAGACCCGCATCCTTAGTCATGAAGCTGGACTCTCAAGGCTTGTGTCCTGTGGTTGCCCGTGACCCTCTCCTTTTTCCTGTCTACCCACAATCCCACTTCTCTTTTACTGAGCTTGACCACCCTGATGCTGCCGTTGCTGCAAAAGAGCACAGACTGCTCCTGTCAGAACCAAAAGCCATTACTGGATGTCTGAGGTTTTTGACAGTTTGCATTCCGGCCTCTGGCAAGACTGACATGGTCAGGGCATGGGTGGCCATTCAGACACAGGCCCGGCTTGCTTCCCTTCCAGGTCCTGGCTGTAGGGCTGCTAGACTGTTCAAGGGGTCTGGCTAGCTGCCCCCCAACCCGTGGCAATGGGAGCGCTCGCCGGGGTGCAGAGGGGTGCTTTAAGGGGCTCAGTATTGTTCCAGCTTTGGTTTGCTGTCATTTTCCCCTTTGCAGAACAGGCCCTTGGAATCCACGCTGCTTGTAGCCAGAGTTGGGTTCAAAGCGACTGACTGTTGCAGAAAGGGCTTGTGTGTTGTATGGCAGATATGACATGGTTCTTTGGTTTAAAGCATATCAGATGTATTTTAATTGATTTAGGGCCAACGTCAGAAAGTGTAAGACACTTCGTGTGCACTTTTGGGGGTATTTGGGTCCCACTGTTGTTTGTAAACTTAACCAGTGGCTTCAGAGAAAGGCAAGAGAACTGTCATAGTATTTTGGTGTTATTTTGTATTTGCATAGAGACAGTTCTGTGGAAAATGATCACGGCCAGCAAGGTTTACCCCTGTAATTCTTAAGTATGTGGCCAGCCGATTACTCCCCCCACTATACTGCCCAGGTTGACACAACATTATCACTTAAAAAGTCTGTTATTAATGACTTGGGAATTGGGAATTGTGTCCTTAAAATAAACAGCTCTGTCATACATGAATTCTATGGCAAGTTGCAAAGCAATTGCGCAGGTGCCCTTTGCTTTCCAGACTGAGAATTCTGAAGAGGAGAGGGTTGCAGAGGTGTTCTCTGATGGTAGAAGAGACTGCATTGATGCATTTCTCCTGAGTTGATATCCCCAGGCTGGGCGTTGAATAAGAAACAAAACAAAACAAAACAAAAAAACCCCAAAAACAAAAAAACTAAGTGTAGCTCCTTGCTCTTGTTGTCTTAAAAGCTGCTGAAGAATTGCGCCGGGGAGTTGGAGAGCAGGATAATGAGGAGCAGACACGGTTTGAGGTGCAGGTTAAAGATGTGAGAACCTGAGTGGCCAGGGTGCTTGTGGCAGGGTGTGTGTGGGATCTGCAGCACCCAGGTGCTTGGGAGGCAGCACAGCTGTACTGAGTGTGTGGCATGTGCTTGCCTGCTGAGCTCCCCAGTCAGGCGTTCCTCTAGCTGTCCAAGCCCCAGGCTGGGTTAGACTCGCCTTGGTAGGCAGGCGCCTGCCTTCCTCTTTCGGTGGGTGTCTGGCTCTTTCTTTGCACAAAACTGAACATTTTGCCAGGATTTATCATCATGGCCACTAGGGGGCGCCCAGAGAACGATAGAGCCTCATTTCTCCTCCATGAGACCAGTCTGCTGTTATTGTCTAGTTCACCCTCCCATTGTGCTATTAATTTCAGCAAAATCTCTTGTTTTATTCAAAGATTATGGAAAGATTTTAAAGCTGGCAGTAGATACAGGCCCAGGAACTGACAGTTCCCAAACGACTTCACTTCTGCTTTGCACTGTTTTCTGCCTGACTGCTAAGCTAGTGCTAGCAAGCCCCTCTGGTGAACAGAGCAGCTTGCTTTTAACAGATAGGAGGAGAGCAGTCCTCCTGGGTCCTGCGTCCTCCCCTGCTGAGTGCGCTGTTCACAGATGGCAGAAGAGCTCAAGTGAGAAACTGGAATTGTCAGGTGGAAAATTCCCCATGTCTGGCTGCATAGAAAATAATGCAGGCAACAACAAAAATATCGGTCAGCATAGTGCTTGCCCTTCAGTGCCTGGTGAGTCAGTGCCAAGAGCAGCAAAACATTTTATGAGATTAGTGTGACATCCGCAGCTTGCCTTGGATTCTGACTGCTCCGTCTTTGGGTAGAATTACAGTTGGCGCTTTTGATCCAGTCCCTTTGAGAGCATCTCCCCGGAGGGGCAGTGATGCTCGTCTGTCCTGTTAATATGAATCAGGCACTGGCTGTTATTGTGAATCAACCAGTCAGAGATGCTGGGGAAATCGGCATTCCTCCTGCAGCAGGGACCCTGCTCACAGAGGAGAGTCATTTCTTGTCACGAAGAACTTCCTACCTGGAAGGGGCTCCTGGCTGAGAACCAGCGTGCACAGCATTCCCTTCAGCTCAGGAAGTTGCAGGCAGCTGGTTCACCCCCCTGCATGGTCCAGACCTTTCCTTTTCTCATCCCCGGATGTGGTCGGTATCACAGCGTTAGTTTAAGCAGGCCTATATGGCAGGAGCTCACGTGACCCCAGATGATGAGCCTAACACTGGATCAGCCTCACAGAAAGGCTCTGGCCTCCATTCAGACCCTTGACCCATCCCTTATGGCACTGGGGATTTTGGGATACTATTTAACTGTGACGTGCCCCTTTCCTCAGCCGGGAAGCCGGATGCTGATAGCACCAATTTCTTGGACTTTTGAGAGTGAATGTAAAGTCTCAAAGGGGAAAAATGAAACATCCTGGTGTTCCTTCCTAGTGGATTTTCCTTCATTTTCTCATATGATTGCATCTATATTTTAAGGCCATCAGAGAGACAGTTTGCACCAGCCAATTAGCCTTGCATCTTGCAGAGAGTGGGGGAGAAGTGAGGGAACTGCTCTCTTTGCCAGGGTAATTAGATTAATTAGGGAGGCACAGACATAGGAAGGCAAAGACTGTCGACCAGGTTCAGATAGGATCTGAATGTGTTTCTGCACTGTTGAGTTTGGGCCCCATTTATTACACAACCTTTGTTTGGATGAAGTTTTTGGCTAGCTGTTTGATAAACTTATGGGTCATCCTACAGCATGAAGTTTTGGGGAGCCAATCCCTTAGACCTTTAGGGCACACAAATCATTGCTAAAACAAACACTATTCAACACAACAAAACAAAAAATCGAACCCAAACACACAATTTTTCGGGGAGAATTTGTCCAAAATGAATCTTACAAGCATAAGCTGTTGCCTAAAGCGATTTCCTCAGCCCAGTGATGGCAGACGGTAGATCCGAGAGCTAAATGAACAAGCCGGCTGCCAGACTAGGTTACGCATGAGCGTCACGTGCACAGTGCTGAGGTGCCGTGGTAGAGTCCAGGCTCAAGTCCAGTTTCCAGAGAATCAGAGATCTTGGCCAATGTGTCGGCCCAGCCTCTCCCAGAAATGTTAGGTGACTGAGCTCAGGTGAAGAAGCCTGATTCTTGGTCAGGGATGTCTGTCCAGTGTTTAACAGTGTGGTCCTCATTCTTTAAGGACTTACAGTCTAGCAGCAGATGTGAAACACATCTGCAGATATTGAATGAATTCTGTCAGGTGGTGACTGAGATATCTTGCTGTCTGCCATGCACACTCACCGTGTTGAATATGGAGCTGGGTGTGAATAAGCCCAAGGAGCTCGCAGTAGGCTAGGAGCAGGGTGGGGGGGTAGGGGGTTGGGGGGTGGGGGGTTGGGGAGGTGGGACGGGACAGACGGACACGACAGTTCCCAGCCCTGCTGTCATTGCTTTAGAGACTGATCAGCACTAGCTCAGTGGAACTTAGTTCATTAGAATGAGTTTGATCCTGGGCAGAAACCTGGTGTGTGTGTGTGTGTGTGTGTGTGTGTGTGTGTGTGTGTGTGTGTGTGTGTGCGCGTGTGTGTGTGAGTGAGTGAGAGAGAATATGTAAGAGTTGTGTATGTGAGGGGGAGATGAAAAGAGACAGACGGGTATGGGGGAGATAATATGTAAGAATGTGTGTGTGTGTTCATGTGTGTGTGTGTATGCCTGTGTGTGCATATGTAGATAATATGTAAGAATGTGTGTGTGTGTTCATGTGTGTGTGTCTGTGCGTGCATGTGTGTATGCCTGTGTGTGCATATGTGTGTATAGGTATGTGTGTGCGTGTGTCCATCATTGTGCATATGTGGGTCTATATGTTTATGTGTCTCATTAGCATGGTAGTGGACTAGCTGTCTAGCGAGTCCTGGGTATTTATTTACCTGTCTCTACCTCCCCAGGGCTGGGATCACAAGAGCATGCCACCACATCCAGCATTTTTATGTGTGTTCTGGAGTCAAACTCAAGTCCTCTTGCTTGTACAAGTAATGTATCAACTGAGTTACCTCCCAGCTACCACCGGCTGCTGTTTTGGAAATCACAAGTTGTGTCATGCTGAGCCTAGAACTTTACAGACATGTTCTCTCATTTAAGGTTTCAACCCTAGTTGGACCCATTTTGCAGATGGAGAAAGTAACATCTGTGGGCGATGAGTCGAGGTCACGACTGGACAGTGCCTCATAGGTCTGTCTGTTGGAAGTCCGTTGCTGCTAGAGGGGCTAAGAGTCTTGCCTACGTCACACAGCAGTGGCTCTGGAAATTCCACTTTGCCAGTGGCGTCAGCTGTGGCCCGATTCCTTCTTGAAGTGACACTTGCTGTAGTTTAGGAAGTGTGTATAGAGGCAGGGCCATGGCAACCAAGACTTCTAGGGTGGCCCAGAGG